AGCTAAGGTGTTGACAGTTGAAGAGCTAGCCTCTAATCAGGTGTTGTGAACAGATATTGATCTGTAAAATGATTTTTGGGTATACACACAGGCAGGCACGCCGCAAATGTCAAACATTACTTATCTGCTGTGAACTCATGGTAGTGGCGAACTCAAACCTCATCCATTTTGTGCAGTCCTATACATAATAGGAAAGTCTTGAGTATACTGGATGTCAGTACATTTGTCAGGTGCAAAACATGAAACAGGGTGTAAGTGTGGGAAGATGAATTGGGGCTGTTTACTTTCAATTTTGCAAAAAGTGGAATTCCATCTAATGCTGAAAAGATGGAATTTTAATGGTTGGATATGCAAGTGATCTCAGATGATTGATGCCACAATTAACACGTAATGTAGACAACATCTGGGCATCCCCTCCCTAGACTTCAATGGTTATTTATTACATAACTGAAAGATTGCGGCCCTTTTTCCCCTATTTTCCATTACTTCTGCAAGATGGGTCTCATGAAATTAGTGCACACATTCCAAAACTATGAAAGTTTTTTTCTAAAACAAATCTGTCGAACTCATCTCTAAGGCTGTCTATACACATCTAAGGGCAACGGAGTACACAAGCCTGGGAGCTTGGATTGGCTGAGAGGTTCAATGTAGAAGGGACAGGGAGTAGATGAACAGTGCTGGCAGATGTTGTAGGAGCCATTTATTACAGGAGGAATTATAGGGTCCCTATGTATAAACAGGGGGGGGGGTTCCTAATCTGTCAGATCATCTGTTCATCCTGAGCACAATCCAGATCTGGTTGTTTGCCAGGTCAATAGATAAGAGATTATCCTCTGACCTGCCTCATGTACCCTAAAACTGGCTATAGACACTAGGGGGTGGTGGATGATATGACCATTATAATTATTTTTTTTTACATTTTTACATCCGATTGCTGCTCATTGGAGGGCAAGTTTTACAACATTTTTTTTATGTGGTATTCTGTACTATTTAGTGTATTTGTCATAAGAAAATTTGAAGAATATGACTTGAACAAGGGCAGTGCTTCTATTGTGAACTTTGAGAATGATCATCCTACCTGCAGATACAGAAGTCAGCAAGGACTTGTTTTAAAGCTTGTTTACTGCTTATATATAAGTACTTGACTGTCTAAAAGCTGGCCATTGATTCACTAAAGATAGAAACAAAGAAAATCAGTCAGGTTAGCGTCATAATCCCTCATACCTCAACTTGTAATAGGAATAGTAGAGACTAAATGGGCAAGTAGTGCCACAGCTGTTGGTTGTCATCACTAATCAATACTCTCGCAGGCATGTTTTTTCTTTTATTTTCCCATGTTTATTGTATGTGTATCTATGCATTAACATTTATTGAAAGACTGGCTACAGACAAATTTTGTTGTGTTGATAGGTTCAGCAAACTTTAGAACCTCTGTCAGCTTCATAGCTGTCTGTTTCCCCATTGGGAAGATTTCTTCCTGCTTTCTGTTGTGGTGGCACCAGAACAACCAATGAGGGCAATGGCTATGACCTGGCCAGGAAGGTGCTGACAACAAAAAAGACATTGTTAGATGTTCCAACCTTTCCCCACTCTACTTAAAAAATGAACATGGTTATTCACAAAAGGGTGAAGAGTTTGGAGAAGGCAGGAGAAGTGAAGAATCTAGGACAACATAGCTGATTTGTAAACATTTTCCAATTCAGTATACTTTCCGGTTCATCTATGTTGTCCTAGATTGTTCACTTCTCCTGCCTTCTCCAAACTCTTCACCCTTAAGTGATTAACCCTGTACGTTTTTGATTTTGCACCAACTTCATGCCCCGGACGGGACAGCAAGTCATCTGAAATATCTCCAATATAAACAGGAAAAAACTAAAAACTTTTTTAGTAGAGCAGAGAAAGAAAACCTCTGACAGAACGTTTACTGACAAGAAGCAAGGTGAATTGTACAGCAACACAAGTGTTTCAGAAGTTCTAATCCTTTCCCATTCAATCCACAACTAAAATAAAGAGAAGTTTTGGCTGAAGTTGAGATTTAAGAGCCATCAATGCTTCTTTAAAGTCTTTACTTAAAATATTTGTTTTCTTTATTAAATATTTAATTTCGTACTTTAAACAGCAGGAAGCCATGTGGCAGGAAGAGACAAGCATCAGTCAAGAAGTATACTCCTCATTATAAAAATATGTGGTAAGATCTTAAGTTATGTTGATAATTGTGGTCTATATCTTGTGGGTTTTGTGTGGGATTTTTTGGTACAATTTTTGGTAAAATCGTGTTTTGTTAGAAATAAAATCGCAATTTAGGAAAAAAAACAAACACCATTATTTAAATCACATAGCTTTTATATTATGTTTACTGGCTCCTTAATAGATCCACCACTTGTAAAACACAATCAGTGTGCCTTGGCTGGCAGCATAGAGAAATAAAGAAAACATTGCTTACACAAAAGTAATAACTATAAAGTGTTGTAGCAATGGGGGAGTCTTTTCATTATGTCACCATGAATGATTGTCACAGCTGACAGCCCTGCCACAACAACTGAGAGGGATCGTTTTTCCATTTCCCCATGTCCCATAGAAAATCCTCCTACACTAGACTGTGCAGGAAGGTTATAAACAACCGGTGTGTTTTCTATTAAATAGCTGCATCACAAAAGCCCACAGGACATCGAAATAATATGGATCATGCAAGAACATTCAGAGATGGTCGGCTGGAATAATATGACATCATAACAGTAACTCCCTTATCATAGAATTGACCAGTCTAATGCTGAAATCCCAGACAAGTGTGTATATCAGGAGGAATTCAATCTAAAGAGACATACTGCTTGTGTATACAGTAATTTCCGGATAAGTGAAAAGTACACTCTCACAGCCTCACTGTCAAATATTATTTCAAAGAGATGAATTCAGCTTGTACAGACCACACAATATGGTCTAAAATAAAATTACACATTTTGCAATAGGCAAAATGAGAAACAGGCTTTCCGAAAGCATCTGGACAGGGCCCACAGTTGTGGCCACATCGTCCTACATGGTGGGTCAAAGTGTTACTCCCTAGCAACCTGTGTGATCCTCCTGTGGGGAAAGCACTGGCCCTCATTATGCACTAGGTTTCCCCAAAATGGCCACTGCAGCTCTTGCTGAAAGGGAGCGGAAGACCTGCAGACAACACATGCCAATATTATGGGGAAATGGGTGGCTGAGGTAATCCTCCTATGCTGCAGGATTTATGGGACCTCAGACCACTGCAGCGGAGGGGGACAGAGGCTCTAGGGACCGGTCTAAGAACAAGCCAGCTCCACAGTTCTGGTGAGTATACACATGAAGTGCAGGGGTAGCCCCACTGCAAGGTTTAATAACATTTATTCCTGGATTTCTTCCTTAATGTGACTGGCTGTGCAGTGTGACAGATGTGTGTAATTCGCAAGAATGGCTATACAGAATTATAAATGCTTTGGCAGGTAAAACAGTTATATGCAACTGTGTATTTAGCTGCTTGTCTGAATGGCAGCTTTAATTTCAGACATATGAAAACTGTGATCCCCAGGCAGTGGGAGTGCACGTCTTAAGTCAAGTGTACATAGCTCAGTTACTTTTTTTATTTCTGTTCCATTATTTTGTGGCCGAATAGAGAATAAAGACACAATCTAAACTATCACGTCCCCCTATCCCTTTCCCACATTCATCTCTCTGAGGCCCAGTATACACAGGCATCCAAATGAGGTGTGCAATGTGTACTTCTGGCACTTGAAAAAGCTCCCTGATGCCTGCGGTTGAAAGAGTTACTAAACCATTGTTAAAATGTCTGCTTCACTTCATGCTGTTTAACAATAAATTAGGACAGTGTATGCCCATATCATCCTCTTCATTTGTATTTTCACCCAATGGGCCCCCGCCAACCTGAAGAACATCTAATTCAGAGTCAACAAATGGGTTTTAACATATTCTGCAGCCAGTGGCTTGGTACTAATCCTGAATGAAATATCAGTAGAAGTACCAAACAATTAAATATCTGAATTCAATAAATAGTACATGTATTAATGGGAAACTGTCAACAATATCAACTACTACTGTGCTCATGGAATTCTATGTCATGAATTATTATTATCTATATATATATATATATATATATATATATATATATATATATATATATATATATATATATATATATATATATATATATTAATAATATGTATATACAGTACATAGTAGAAAACAGACATCAGTGCAAAAAGGTATCAGCTCAAAAATAACTGAAAATAACATTTATCTAAAACCATTATAGTTTTCTTTTAGGAGAGGCAGCAGAAGAACACTTGTGATAGCTCTTCTGGCTCCTTTGTGGGATTCCACCTTCTATTTGTCAACAGATGCCATCAATGGTACTGTACACATACAAGTAGTCGCCAGTACAGGTAAGAAGAATGATTGCAGCCATTTAGCCAGCCCTCTTCCTTTTGATTACTATATCTAGCCATAGCTGTGTAGGTGTCTCCCGGAGAATGATGGGTGGGATGATGTCTGCCATTGACTCTGGGGCTCACCAATGTTTTTTGTATAACTTGCTCAAAGGACTGCATTGGTACATACTTTATTGACAAACAGGTCACGTGAAGTAAAAGGATTGGTGGATGCTATTGAGTGCTTCCAAAAGCTAGGGGAATGTTTTATGACCCGCTAGGATGGCCCTAAACAGCCTTACTATTGTATTTTGTACAGTTTTAACTGTTTATGATGCCCGTAGTTGAGTATTAGGAAGAGTTTTAGTTGCAGGAGTACAGGAGAGGTTGGTGGGTTAAGACAAGGCATATGGGACATAAACAGAAAACACTTGTTGATGAAATTATATTAAATGATGTGATCATATATATGAGATAGATAGATAGATAGATAGATAGATAGATAGATAGATAGATAGATAGATAGATAGATAGATAGATAGATTAGATAGATGGCGTTAACTAGGCTGGATACTTGACAGGTACACCACTCACTCTTCTGTTGCCTTCCAGTCACACCATAGCCGAACTCCCAAACCTTCCATCTCCAGTTGGAACTGCTGCAGGCAGTACTCATTCAGCAAATAGGAATACGATGTTTCATCACAGCCTGCAAAAGCCATCAATGGAGGGGCTGCCACAAGAGAAAATAAATAGGCTATTTAGTTTCTTTAGCAAGTAAATACCTTTCAACCAAAATAACGGTATGTGTCACAATAACAGAGTCGTGTCCGTATATGTATGTATTTACACGTCAATTCTGATGCGCAACACAGTAGTTATCAGTGTGACAACAGCACCTTACAACAGATGATTGACAGGTAAACACATAGGTGTAATAAAAACAGGAATGATGTGTCCAGGCTACATTTAGAGTCTATACATTTATAACATGAACAGCAAACACTATTCCAATACCCCATAGAACAGAAACTTATTTATTTTTAGATTGTAAGCCCTCACGGGCAGGGCCCTCCTTACCATCTTGTCTTAAATTGTATTGTGACTGTAATGTCTTCCTTATATTGTAAAGCGCTGCGCAAACTGTTGGCGCTATATAAATCCTGTATAATAATAACAATAATATTTACTAAACTTCAGGGAGCAGTTTATCTAAAGCAGAAAATGTTCCATCTAAAGGCCCCCTTTATATGTCAAGAAATTATGACCTATATATTTACCATGCAAGCCATGAAATTACATTTTAGAAGAAAATATATTCTTCTACTTTTTTGCAGATCCTTTACGTTTGCTAGGCAACTAGTGCATGTGCAAAGTATCCGATACTTCTTGAAAAGTAAGAGGGACTAGACAATCACTACCACTCCATGAATCCCAAATTACCGCTGCAACCTCAGCAGGAACAGCAGCTACAAAAGTGACAACAGGACAAGCTTCTCCAGAACAAGCTAAGTGTTGTCACCCTACCCAGTTGTAAACCAACTGTTCACTGGCACAATCAACAGCCAATTATATATGATATTGTAAGGCGCTTTGTAGAATCAGAGAGGGGATAGTTTTTTTTTTATGTTGAGGGGATGAATGATATATCAAATTTAAGTATATTATATGACCTAAATGCTCCTCTTAGTTGTGGTCGTGTGACTGCAATGTTCTTCTATAATACATGCTGTAAGGGCTGTAACTGGAGAGTGGCGCTCTGTCTCTTCTGCTGCTGTTACAAATCTATGCTGGACTTCAACTCCCAGCTGCCCTTGCAGCACACCCTACTAGTGTAGGTGGAGTGAGAGGGGTGATTTACATCAACACACAGCCTTGCATTCCCGGCAGCAGTGCGACTGACCAGAATTTGACGCTGTTTGAAATGTAAAAAGCCTGATGTAGCGTTGTCACCATAGAGGGAGAGACATAGTGACAGTGAAACTGGCAGGATTAAGAGGTATGTTGGACACTAAAGAAAAGAAAAAAGTTGAACGCTCTTTACACCCTACTAGTGTAGGTGGAGAGTCTGTGGAAGCGACTCCCCCAGGAGTTAGTTCTAGCCAGTCCAGTTAACTGTTTTAAACAAAATCTGGATGCATTCCTAAATGCACAGAATATTACTGGATATTGCGTTCTTATAGGTATATTAAGCACAAAGAGATTGTTGATCCAGGGAATATCCGATTGCCCTATGGGATCAGGACATAATATTTTTTCCCCTATTGGGGAAAATTGAACCATGCTTTACAGGGGTTTGTTTTGCCTTCCTCTGGATCAACTGTGGGTGACTGTGGGCATAGCGTTCTGTTTAGGTTTTGGGGTTTTTTTTTTCTCCACTTATCTCTGTAGGTTGAACTCAATGGACCTGACTAACATGTATCTGGTGTGCTTTCAGCAAAGCAGAATGTAATTCGGTAAGATGCTTTGACTTCCACCTTCCTGCTGCAATGGTAACAATAACACAGAGGAACACAGGGCCAAAGTTGGCCTTACAGGAAACCAGAAGAAATATGTTGGATGCCACTGTTGACCCCTTCTGAAAATGTTACTTGTTGGCTTTCTCTAGTTTCATTACATTCTCATTTATTGACATGGTCTAAGGTCCAGACAGTGAAGTCAGGGTAAGCTGTATTTTCATTGTAGCTCTGTAACTCCAAGGGGCATATTTATAAATCAGTGAATATGACATTCCCAAACATTCACTGCTGGAGAATCAATCACTGTATTTTTAAACACGTAAAACTCTTCATTATTATGCTATGTTGTGTTTAATCCATTGTATTACCATGTAATGTAAAGAACCTCAAGGGCAGTGCCTGGGGCAGTAACCACGTAACTGTGTTTCTTTCTTATTCTGTTTCACTTAAACATTTATTTACACATTCTTGGATTGGATTTTCAAAAAATGTTTAACAAAGAAGAACTACGAGAAAATACATGTAGAAACAAGAGTACATGGAGCCCATCTCAGGTATATTACACATAAAACTCTATATATAGCCAACTGTGATACATAAAATGCATTTTATAAGCGTCCCGAGCATAGTGTATGGGCTTCAGAACCCAGAGCTTGGCAATACAAGGCACTTAGAGGGGAATTTATCAAAACTGGAGTGGACAAAATCTGGAGCAGTTGCCCATGACAACCAATCAGCTTCTCTCTTCAGTTTGTTCAGTTAAGATTTAAAAAATTAAAGAGAGAGGCTGATTGGTTGCCGTCCACAGCTGCTCCAGATTCTGACTGCTCCAGTTTTGATAAATTCCCCCCTTAGTGTTTAGTATCTCAGGGTTATGCATATCTCAATAAGCTTTGAAACACTCCATAGTGAAAAAAAAAGTATGAATCTGGGCCTGCTGTAAAATCCAGCTTGCCCAAAAATCGTCATGGGTTTCAACAAAGAAAAGAAAGAAGAGATGGCAAACAGCTAGAAAGATATAGACATTTGGATAGAAGAAAGGTAGTGAGGCAGCAAAAACCTAGAACAACTGCTCCTCCATCCTCATTTCAAAACAAACAGTCCAATAGGAGAATCAAGTGGAGCTCTTTTTTTTTACAAGATCAAGATACTCAGTTGTGGTAGAAAAATCCTTCCAGTAAAACCAGGCTCTCCAATATCATTTGTACCTCTCGAGGAGATGAGATCTTCCATTCTGTAGACATTTTTTAGCTAAATTAAAAATATAAATCGACAGGGCAAAGTGTGTGGAGAGGAAGATGACAGGAGTCAGAAGGCTTAAGAAACATGGTCATCTCTCCTTTCTTTTCTTGGTCTGTACAGTAGCTGTAAACGTAGTGCAGACAGCATGGTGCCTCCTATAGCTTATTCCAGTCTTCATTTCTATACTAATAATAATAATTGCCTGATACAAGAGGAGGAGATTATACAATAAGAGCATCATGATTCCAGTGTGCCTATGTTTTGTCTAAATACAGGCCTATCATGAAGCTAGAAATTTCACAACAAGAGGTCAGCAATGGTGCCTGCATATTTTTCTCAGGCCCAGTTTCCTTTAAAATGACAATCCCAAAACACAAAACACTGCTGACAATGATTTCTTTACTGCTTAACTATCGTTACACTTGGATTACAGAGATGAAGAAGAAACCCAAGATTTTCCAACTAACTCATATCCCAATATTTGACACTGATCTGCTAGGATCATTTTCTCTCCAACACAGATTGTTTTACAATTGTAACTTTTAGAGGATGACAGCTGGACTAAACTATGCCAGAAGAAAAAAATAATCTTCTCAAATTGTCCATCAGACAGACGGGAAAAATCCCGTCTGAGTCGGTTACATGGGACCTCCACTGAGCACTGAGAGTTTGGACAATTAATCAAAAGTAAGTTCTATGATCGGACGGATTGATAGATAGATATTATGAGAGAAAGAGAGAGAAAGAGAGAGAAAGAGAGAGAAAGAGAGAAAGAAAGAGAGAGAGAGAAAGATAAAGAGAGAAAGATAAAGAGAGAAAGAAAGATAAAGAGAGAAAAGAAAGAAAGAGAGAAAAGAAAGAAAGAGAGAAAGAAAGAGAAAGAAAGAAAGAGAAAGAGAGAAAGAGAGAGAGAGAAAGAAAGAATGAGATAAAGAGATACAAAATACTTTAGATGGATAGACAGATACAGTATATACATAAAACATAGCTACAAAGAATCATATCTACTCACTAATTAGTTTTCTGTTTGTATTTGCACGGTATTTGTAGCACATCAGTGTGATGAATATCAGACGAACTGACACCTCGGCTTTGACAAGCACACAGTATTTCATAATTGTAATTAATGTGCCTGTCATATTCTGGCATGCAGGATGAGCTTATATCATCAATGTCAGGCATTTAGAAGAGGTTATAGGATATTTTCCACAATATCTGCTGGTGATCTGAGATTTGTGTTGTTGGCTTGTTAGTTGCTACACAACAGGATTAAAGTGGTAGTCACGGAAAATGATTCCTGCTAGGTACTGTGCATTTCCACAAGACCCCTTCATGGTTGCTTCATCATGTAATCAGTATCTTGTTAGCGGCCTTATGAATAAAGTTATCTGGCTTGTTACTTTCTCTCATCTCTGCACTGCTCCTGGTACTGGGAAAAAGGCCTCTTGGCACCAGCATTTGCTTTCCTGTATTTAGACAAACAGGAATCAAGCCAAGGATAGATATGAGTGCTGTCAATAAGATGTAGTCTTACTGATCTGATTAAATTTGCTTTGATTTGCACAAAATACATTTCAAATCAAACAACATAAGGAATGTTCAGATATGCCTCATATCAGAAATAGAATACAAAATGTATTCTAACATCAAAGAATGGACATGGGTGGCTACTTTGTTTTGGGTAAAAAGCAAGAAAAGGATTGATCTCTGTCAGGTTTGAAAAAACAACAACTCCACTTTGAATAATGATGCAAGTATTGGGACAATAAACACAGTCACATGGTAATTCTAGGTCTTTCAACCACCCAAAAAAAATAAGGAATAAATGACATCAAGGTAAGAAAAGTGTATGATTCTGGGAGATACTCACCTTTTTCCATGTTCTGATTTTATAGCAAACATTGTAATATGGTCTGTTATCATTTTTCCTACAAACTAATAAAATAATGATTTATTAGTGTATTTTTTCAAGTATATGTAATCCTTAACTAAATGACATTACATTTGCTAAAGCATATTGGTGCACATTTAT